GCCAGTACCACAATATCTTACTCTAGTTTTATATTAATTCTGGATATGTGGTAAGGCAAGTCTTCTTCCTTCTTTTTCTACAGGAGTGTTTTGGCTTTCTTGACACTGTATTTCTTTATCAGTTTTAGAGTCACTTTGTCAAGTTCCGCAAGAAAATCTTGTTGAGATTTAATTGTGATTGCATTTTATCTGTAGATTAATTTAGGGAGAACTGACATTTTTATAATACGGGTCTTAGAATCCATGAGCATGGTTCATTTCTTCACGTTAGATTTTCTTTAGTGTCTCTCAATAAACATTCTATCATTTTCTTCATAAAAGTATCAAGACTATTTTTAGATAGGTGAGAGTAGGGAGACCAGGAAGAGAAGGATACTAGACAGTGAGAGAAAAACTTCACAAAGCTGGTCAGCAATCGAAAGGCAACACAGAAAATTCATACTGACACTCTTCCCCACCCTGACTTTTCATTGATATCAAAGTCTGTTTTCATTTTTCTTTTAAGTCCTCAACCACATCCCTAAACACTCAGCAGATTATCTCATCTCCTATCTGTAGAAGTTGTTGGCTGTGCAACTAAATAGAACACTCTCAGTTGTTTCCCTTTCAACTTACAGAATTTCTCATCTGTCCGTTCTTTCCTTGATCCTATATCTGAGGAAGGAGTGTCCCTCTGAGGAATAACGTCCAATACTAATCCACCCACGAGTACTCTGATCCTAGGACAGTTGGGATAGCTGTGATTACAGATTCCTTCTTACCTTACATTCTCCACATTCAACCAATGGCAAAGGCTTGGCAAAAATGATGCCCAATTTTCTGATAGGAAGGTAAAGCATGAAGGTATTGATTGTTATGTTCTCCTGGATGTATTACTTACGAAATGAAGCTTTTGTTACTTTGGCAGATAAAGCCACTCTTTTATCTGAGTTTCTCTGATCTGTTCCTGGGAATATGCTGGCTCATTGAGGCACTTCTCTATGGTACTTCAGCAGCCAATAAGGACATCGTCTGCTATAACCTGCAAGCAGTTGGACAGGTGAGTGCTACTAGACTGTCACTGCACCTTGCAAGACAGGCACACTCAGATCTAGATAGGAGACAAAGATACAGTAATCTGTCCTGGGAAGTGGGTACCTTTTTGTTTATTGTTACATTTTGAAACAATAGCTTTTATTGTTTTTCCATATTAAAAAACACTACTTAGTTATTACAGAAAATCTGGGAAATTCAGAGAAGTGAAAAGATAAATAATTAAAACTTCCCAGATATAATCACTTTTAATATTTTATTCATATTATATGCCCTTCCAGTCTTTTTCTGTCAGTATACATGTTTTTAAAGCAAATCAAATAATATAATAATGATCTCTGTAATCTATTTTTATTACTCAGCATATTGTGACCATATTTCCACATAATGATAAATTCTCCTACAACATCATCTGAAATGACACATGGTTTTTCATTATAGGAATGTGATAAACATTGAGTTTTAAAAATGCCACCAAAACAAAAAAAAACAAACCCATGGCAGTTGAATTGAGTCTACCTCATAGTGACCTTATAGGATGGAGTGGAACTGCACCATAGTGTTTCCAAGGAGTGGCTAGTGGTTTTGAACTGCTGACCTTTTGGTTAGCAGTCGAGCTCTTAACCACCATGCCACTAGGGCTCCAAAAATACCACAGATGAACTTATATAGGTTATATGTCTTTCCTGGATTTTGTCAATGGATTGACCGACACAATACCATTAGTGTATGACGCTTCTTATATATTTCTGAGATTTACAATATGAACAAGTAGGGAACCTTCCATAGAGCACTTTGAGTTAATATTGTACCACTTCATTATTGTAGAAACCTTGCAACTATGTAGGACTTATACTCCTTGTCTTAGTCATATAGTGCTGCTGTAACAGAAATACCACAAGTGGATGGTTTTAACGAAGAGAAGTTTATTTCCTCACAGTTAAAGTAGGCTAAAAGTCCAAATTCAGGGTGTCAGCTCCAGGGGTAGGCTTTTTCTCTCTGTCGACCTTCTCTTCAGTGTTCCCCTGGACTAGGAGCTTTTCTTTGCAGGGACCCGGGTCCAAAGGACGCGCTCTGCTCCCAACACTGCTTTCTTGATCGTATGAGGTCCCCCTGTCTCTCTGTTCACTTCTCTCTTTTATATCTCAAGAGATTGCCTCAGGACACAGTCGAGTCTCATAGATTGAGTCCTGCCTTACTAACACAACTGCCACCCATCCTCCCTCATTAACATCATAAAGGTAGGATTTACAACAGATAGGAAAATTACACAATACCAGGAATCGTGGCACAGCCAAATTGATACACACGTTTTTGGGGGGACATAATTCAATCCATGACATCTTCCAACTGACTTTCACGCTATACTTACATGTATTACATCTATATCTATTGAAAACTCTACAAGATAGCGTTATACTTTTTTGCTTTAAGTAGTCACAATTATTTTTTAAAAAGTGTAGAAAAAAAGTCTTTTGCATTGCCCAGATACTTAACCAATTCTGTGGCTCTTCTCTGATTCCTGAAGATTCCTCTGGTATCATTTCCCTTCAGCCCGAAGAGCAGCTTTGGCATTTCTTGAAGGGCAGGGCTTCTGGTGACAAAGTCTTTTAGTTTTTCCTCATTCTAAGTTTGTCTTTATTTCACTCTCATTCCTGAAGGATATTTTTGCTGGATATAGAATTCTGGTTTGACGGGAAATTTTTTTTTAGCACTTTAATTGCTAAAAATTGTAGTTCTATGTTTCACTTTTTGAGGAACCACCGAACTGCTTTCCACAGCAGCTACACCATTTTACATTCCCACCAGCAATGCATGAGGGTTCCAAGTTCTCCACATCCTCACCAACGATCGTTACTTTTCATTTTTCTATTAACAGCCATCCTAGTGGGTGTGAAGTGGGACCTCATTGTGGTTATGATTTGTATTTTGCTGATAATTAATGATGGTGAGCATGTTTTCATGTGTTTATTGGCCTTTTGTATATCTTCTTTGGAGAAATGTCTGTTGAAGTCCTTTGCCCGTTTTTTAATTGGGTTGTTTGTCTTTTTGTTGTTGAGTTGTAGGAGTTCTTTATAAATTCTGGATCCTAAAGTCTTATCGGCTACATGATTCCCAAATATTTTCTCTGATTCTGTAGGTTGGCTCTTCACTTTCTTGATAAAGTCTTTTAATGCACAAAAGTTTATAATTTTGATGAAATCCAGTTTATCTATTTTGTCTTTTGTTGCTTGTGATTTTGGTGTCATATCCAAGAATCCGTTGTCAAAGTCTAGGTCCTGACACTTTACCTCTATGTTTTTATCTAAGAGTTTTATGGTTTTAGGGTTTTTTTTAGGTCATTGATCCATTTTGAGTTAATTTTCATATATAGTGTGAAGTATAGGTCAAATTTAACTATTTTGCCGGTGAAGATCTAGTTGTTCCAGCACCATTTTGTGTGATGTCACTCTTTAAAATAAATAATTCTTTTTTTTTCTTTTTTATTGTACTTTAGATGAAGGTTTACAGAACAAATAGTTTCTCATTAAACAGTTAGTACACATATTGCCCTATGACAAGGAATAACAACTGCACGACATGTCAACACTGTCTTTTCTCAACCTTGTGTTCCCTATCACTAGCTTTCCTGTCCCCTCCTGCCTTCTAGTCCTTGTCCCTGGACTGCTGTGCCTCATTAGTCCCGTTTTGTTTCATGAGGCTGTCCAACCCTCGGCTGAGCAGTGAACCTCGGGAGTGACTTCACCACTGAGCTAAAAGGATGTCTGGGGACAGTACTCCTGGGGTTTCACCAGTCTCTGTCAGGCCAGTAAATCTGGTCTTTTTTTGTGTGTTAGAATTTTGTTCTACATCCTTTCCAGCTCCGTCCAGGACCCTCTGTTGTGATCCCGGTCAGAGCAGTCAGTAGGGGTAGCTGGGCACCATCTAGCTGTACTGGACTCAGTCTGGTGGAGGCCGTGGTAGCTGTGGTCCACTAGTCCTTCGGACTAATCTTTTCCTTGTATCCTGTTCTCTTCACTCCCTTGCTCACGAAGGGATGAGACCAGTGGAGTATCTCTTCATTCTCCCTTGCTCACGAAGGGATGAGACCAGTGGAGTATCTTAGACAGCTGCTCACAGTCTTTTAAGACCCCAACCACTACTCACCAAGGTAGAATGTAGAACATTGTCTTTATAAACTGTGTTATGCCAGTTGAGCTAGATGTTCCCCGAGACCATGGTCCCCACAGCCCTCTGCCTAGCAATTCAGTCCCTCAGGGAGTTTGGATGTGTCTAGGGAGCTTTCATGACCTTTCCTTGTGCAAGTTGTGCTGGCTTCCCGAGTATTGTGTACTGTCTTAACCCTTCACCAAAGTTACCACTTATCTATTGTCTATTTAGTTCCCCCCCAACCCCTCCCGTCCCTTCTAACCTAAAATAAATAATTCTTACAAACGTCTAAATTATTTTTTTAGAATAGAAAATAAAGCCACACTCTTCCAGACTAAAATAAAAGTTTCAGTATTCCCCATTGTCCTTTCTCCCAGTAAATTCTGCCAGCTTGGAGGAAAAGAATACTATTTTACTTGGCTTTATCCTTTAAGTTGAGGCCCACAATTCAGATGAAATACTTCAGCGGATCCATTTATCCAACTTTATGAGAGCAATAGTAGAGAAAGACCTAGAGTAAGGAGACCTGGGTTCTAGACTTTTTTTTTTTTATAATATTTTACTGTGTTTTAGGTAAAAATTTACACAGCACATTAGATTCCCCTTTAACAATTTTTATACAAATTGTTCCATGCCATTGGTTACAGTTTTTACAACATGTCAGCATTCTCATTATTTCCATTCTGTTTGTTCTGTTTCCACTGATCTAGCTTCCTTTCCCCTCCTTTCCTTCTCATCTTTACTTTTGGGTAAATGTGTACCATTTGGTCTCTTATAGTAGACTTTGTTTTTCTGTTAAAAAAATATATATGACTTAGAGCTTTGCACAGTGGCAATATTGTAGCCAAGGTTTATCTGAGGCACGATTATTGCTAATTGAAAACTTTTGACAAGTATCGTCTTCAGCGAAGGGAAGGACAACACACAATACAGGGGAAGTCAGCACAACTGGACCAAAGCAAAAGCTAAGAAATTTCCTCGACACATCCAGACACTTTGAGGGACAGAGTGCTTGGGGCTGGGGCCTGGGGACCATAGTTTCAGGGGACATCTTAGTCATTCGGCGTAGCATAGTTTATTTAGAAAATGTTCTACATCCCACTTTGGTAAGTAGCATCTGAGGTCTTAAAAGATTGCGAGTGGCCATCTAAGATGCATCAACTGGTCCCATCCCACTTAGAGCAAAGAAGAATGAAGAAAACCAAAGACAAAAGGAAAATACTACCTCAAGGGACTAAAGGACCAAATGAAGCAGAGACTCCGCCAGCCTGAAGCCAGAAGAACTCAGTGGTGCCCGGCTACCACCAGTGACTGCCCTGACAGGGAACACAACAGAGAGACCCAGACAGAGCAGGAGAAAAATGTAGAACAGAACTCAAATTCATGTAAAAGACCAGACTTAATGGTCTTACAGAGAATGGAGGAACCCCCAAAACTGTAGTCCCTGGACACACTGTTAACCCAGAACTGAAACCATTCCCGAAGTCCACTCTTTAGATAAAGATTAGACAGGACTATAAAACAAAAAATAATACACGTCAGGAATGTGCTTGTTAGTTCAGTCAGATATATGAGACCATATGGGCAGCTTCTGTCCAAAAGCAGGATGAGAAGGCAGGAAGGGATAGGAACTGGTTGATTGAAAACAGGGAACCTGGGGTGGAAAGGGGGAATGTGCTGTCACATTGTGGGGATTACAACTAATATCATAAAACAATATGTGTATGAATTTTTGTATGAGAAATTAACTTGAGCTGTAAACTTTCACCTAACGCACAATAAAACAGACAGACAAAAAATACCAGAAGGACCACCCATGGTTGATAGGTTTCAGTGGAGCTTCCAGACTAAGACGGCAGAAAGCAGGGTCTGGCTGTCTACTTCTGCAAATTAGCTAATGAAAACCCTGTGGATCACAACAGAGTATTGTCTGATATAGTGCTGGTAGATGAGCTCTCTGGGTTGGAAGACACTTAAAGTTCACAGTGGCTGCAAAGTGGACTCGAGCATACCAACATCGTGAAGATGGCCCAGGACCAGGCAGCATTTCATTCTGTTGTACATGGGTTCCCCATGAGTCGGAGCTGACTCGATGGCAACTAACAACAACAACAAACTAAGTGCTATACCAAGAGTGACTGCTTCTTCCCAGTCCTAAAAGTGGATCCAGTTTATTGCCCAGTTTGGAAAGATTTCAGAATCTTCTTTCGATAGTTTCCTATGGCGAGAGCTGTTTAAGGCAGAAGATTCTGTTTGACAAGATAGGTCAGCTATGTTGATCTGTCAAGGCATTAGATCCTCCTTTTCCCAAAGTTGGTTTGGAAATGGCCAGTATGTGCTAGATATAGAAAACCCGGAGCTGGTCAGAGAGGCGAATTAGCTTAGTACAACCAGAGCACCGTTTGTACCACTTCACTGAACTGGAACAGGAAAAATCAATCATTTACCAAAAGCTCACAGGCCCAGGAGAGGCTGTGGGAAGGGGAACTATCCTCCAACTGTATAAGCCATCATAAGAAAAATAGTAGATAGTGCCGTGGACCAGAAGGGAGGAGATCTAGGTCAGTACCAAACCAGAGCTACATTTTATGTGATCCAGTACGTCTTAACAATTAAAGTAGTATGCACCTGGCAGAACCCTTCTTGTCTCTGAATGCCTTTAAAAAACCTGAATAGTACTAAAAACTGAAACTGTCCCAGGTCTGGCTTAAATAAATACTTTTCCACTAGACCCAGGTAAACGTGTAGAGCCATTTTTTTCACTCTAGCCTGTCTTGATCTTCTGGTAATCCCATTACTGTTGACCTGTTTAACTTCACAGCACACCCAAGCATCCATTTTATAGAACCAAAGTTTCCTAGACTTAGTTTCAGAGTCCTTGAAGAGATTACCTTAAATCTGGTGCCATAGCTAAATTTCTCTTTAGACAAATTATAATGAGAATATTTTTAACAGACCTTTAGGGCCTAACCTTCACCTTTACTTCCTTTACTTTAGTAAGAATCATTTAAGAATACTTCCTATTTTCTCCTACTTTAGAGCTGAGAATTAGATATTCTAATTGATTATTATTCCATTAAAAAGCAAACTCAAACTTGACTTTTTCCTCCCTGCGCACGTTACGGGAGCATCCTAGTACTTAATACTTTTTAGAGCTGGAGACCAAGACAGAAATACATACACTCCTTAAAATGGAGCACTTTCATTTTTTTTAGTTTTCCTGTATTAGTGTGCATAATTTATAAAACTAAAACATGCTCTAGATAAAAGTTAAAATAGTAAAGAGGGGTATACAGTTGAAAAGTAGAAATTTTCACCTTCTTCATGCCCCCTACTTCCACAGCCTAATCAGTTTAGATGAAATGTCTCTATTTTTCAAAGTTCTCTTTTGTCTGGTTCTTGAGAAAAAAGTAGGGTGGAGGGAACAGGGCATTCCCTTGTTTGCACAAGCAGATGAAGAGGTCCTAGACTTTAAGAGAGTCATGGTAAAGAAAAGAGAACCAGTCACCTGATCTAAACTAACAAGATATCCAGTTTTCTGAATCCAAATTTCCTGTTCTATTCTTTGAGCAGAAAGATCCTTTTGAAAAATATCCTTGTTCTTCCTGAAAACTGCTGCTAAGTTTTTTGGAACATGGTTAGCAGTTATTATTCATTTCAACTAAATCAGAATGAAATAAAATAGGCTTAAGCAGTAATAGGAAAGAATTTAGCTTGGATAGAAACCTTGAGGATTGTTAATAAGTCATCAGGTTCACTGTGGTGTTTTCTATCAGATGTATCCATAATTCTCATCTGTGTGAAACGAATTTTCTATTTTTGCCTGAAGACCAGGTGATACACTATGTAAGTAGGTTCAGTTGTTCCTAGACTTCAGGATTTTACAAATGAGTAAAATAAAAACAGAAACATGCGAGAGTTGTTATAGTGTTGCCAACTTTATATTTTGCTGAATTAAGAACATTTAAAAAACAATAACCATCTAATTTCATAAAAGAAACAAAATTTAATAACAAAACACTAGGCAGACTATAATCTTAGAATAAAGGATGCTTCTCTAAATTGCTAAATTTAGCTATATGAAAAACTCATTACATTGCTGTCTTAGTCATCTAGTGCTGCTGTAACAGAAATACCACAAGCAGATGGCTTTAACAAAGAGAAGTTTATTCTTTCACAGTATGGTAGGCTATAAGTCCAAATTCAGGGCATCGGCTCCAGGGGAACGCTTTCTCTGTCAGCTCTGGAGGAAGGTCCATGTCATCAATCTTCCCTTGGTCTAGGAGCTTCTCTGCACAGAAACCTCAGGTCCAAAGGATGCGCTCTGCTTCTGGCAGTGCTTTCTTGGTGGTATCAGGTTCCCATGTCTCTCTGCTTGCTTCTGTCTTTTATTTCTCAAAAGAGATTGGCTTAAGACACTATTTAATCCTGTAGACCTCATCAGTATAACTGCCACTAATGCATCTTATTACATCATAGCGATAGAGTTTACAACACAAAGAGAAATCACATCAGATGATAAAACAGTAGACAGTCATACAATACTGGGAATCATGACCTAGTCAAGTTGACAGATATTTTTTGGGGGACATAATTCAGTCTATGACAATTGCCTGTATTTTTCTCATTATTTATTAGACCAATTAATATTTTGTTAGGGATCAGCACTGATTTCTGAAATGGCATTTGGAAATCATTGTACAAAATGGACTTTTTCAAAGTCCTTTCCCAGTTTAGGATACTGAAACTTCAGGACATGTGACTATTTTTCTGTGTCAAGCTTTTCTTCTCTACTGGGGTAGGTGAGGGGTACAAATTAGAATCAGGCTTATTCACCTCTTATATTATGATTTTATTATTTGGCTGCAGTTATTGAGTTCTTGCCTGATACAAATAGTAAAAAAGTTTTAAAGGAAGTCTAGAGCTGGTGAGGCAGGAGAATTGGCTCAGTACAACTGGAACACCCTTACGCCACTTCACTGAACTGGAGCAGAAGAAATGAATCATTTACCAAGAAATAATCTGGAATTTACCTGAGAAACAGTGAGTTTGAGGACCAAACTATCTTTGATTAATAGGTTGAGATGTAGGGTTTTCCAAGTGCTATTTCTTTTGTGATATTACAGGGCTTGAACAACATGTGGATCAGATGGCTTTGTATACACTACAACATCTGGCCCTGAAGGATGGTATCTGATCCATAGTCTAAACTACTGAGATTTTTTTTTTATTGTATTAGATGACTAGCTCTGCACTTAGGAGATTAATTCAGTTGTACACAATTGTCCAGATCAACCTTGGGGTCAGGAACAAATTCTGTGCTTTCTCCAGAAGGGGCAGGGATTATTTTTGTGCTTAAATTTCTGTTTACTAGGAAAAACTGCTATGGAGAAACAAGATAAGAGAAAAATGCCAGTGCCAGAAACTGTCCCAGTTAGCCTCTCTTATTTACTCTTGGCTCTTCTAGTGTTTACTTTGATACAGGTTGAAGTGTTAGCAGTCATCTTTTCATAGTTCAAGAAGCCAATTTAACTTTCTGGAAGAATGTGTTAGTCAGATGCTTTAGAGACACCAGTTTGGATTGCAAATAACATGAGGTTTGTGGCTTAGAGTTAAAGCATGGAGTTTGGAGTCAAACAGATCTGCGTTCAAATCCCTGATCTGACACTTGTATTAGCTGTGTGATTTTAAACAAGTTAACTTTTCTAAGTATTAATTTCCTCATCTGTAAAATAAGAATAATAATAGAATTCTCAGGGTTGTTGTGAAGATTAAATTAGATAACACATGCAAAGTGGTTGCCTTCAGTTAGCATAAACTATTGTTATTTTTATTATAATCATCATCATCCTCAATAATAGGATTCAACTGCAGGCCTTTCGTTTCCTCCACATACTTACTGATCCATTACTATCTACATTT